CTCTGGATCCTGATCCTCCAACCCCAGTGGCACCAGCCAGGCTTCCTCCTGTATGATAATGTGAGACCTGAGCCTGGATCAAGGTGCAACTATTTTAAATTAGGCCTCCATCTCGTAACTTGGGCCTGACCAGGCCCTGAACCCTGAGCCAGAAGCTCCTAAAAGTAAATAAATGAATTCCCCTTGTGATAAACTCTCCTAGCAACAGCTGATTAACAGATAACAGAGAAATACCTAGAGTTTCTGGTGTCTTCTCAGGGAAGATAAGGTGACTAATAGCTACCCGAGACCCTGCAGTTTGGCACGTACACCCCAGCAGCTCGGACCCTATGCTTCGGCCAATCAATTCAAAAGGCATCAACCCCAAAGCCATCCAACCACCTTTAGTAGGTCCATTCCCGCCACTGGGTGCACTAATCAAATCTAGGAGATGTCCTTTGAATTTCCCATGGGATGAGATGATTTGCTAAATGGTACCATAATGTATAGAATGTCTCTAAAAACCCTATAAAAACCCTGTTAACTGAAGGGTCGGGGCTCTCAATTCAGACCCGCTGTGTTGGTGTTGATTGAGAGACCAGGTGTGGACCTGCAATAAAACTCTCAAGTGCTTTACAGTGGTATCGGCTCCTTGGTGGTCTTTGGGGATGACTGAACTGAGCATAACAATAACTTCAGGGGGGAAACTCAGATAGGAATTTTTCTATTTACATCCAAGAAGTCCTTTGTTCAAGGAGGAGCAGAGGTGTCCAGGCAAGACCCATCCCCTTTAAAACCCCTGGCCTCAACCAGACTGCACGCTCAGTCCTCTGCCTCCATGCTGAGCTGCCCGCCTGGCCTGGCCAGGTGTATTCCACTCAACCATGTAACCCTGCTCGCCCCCAGTCTGAGTGACTGGGCACTCTCTCTCAGGTTCCGGAGAGGTGCCCATCCATTCTTATGGATGTCCCTACCCTAGTAAACCTTGCTATTTTGCTTTCCACTTACTCTCTGTCTCATGCCTGAATTTTTTCTTGCGTGAAGACAAGGACCCTGCTATTCTCCGATAATAGGGACTGGTGGCACTCAGTTTTAAGTATATTTTCCAAGGAAAAAACCTTGATGATTAGATTGACATTCAGTTACCAGGTGGGGCCAAAAAACAAAAACAAAAACCAGAAAACCTCATTCACAATTCTCCATCCTGTCTGGCTTGCTAAGGGTGGGGTAGATAACTTGTTTTCACAATAAGTGTGAGCTCAGGAGGAGATTCCTTGCTATTCTCTTGGTAAATTTGGAGATTCCACAGGAAGGAGGACAGCCTGTTTGTTCTTGCTAAAGATAAAGTTTTGGGGAAGGAAGCAAGTATTTTACAAAGGGTGATTTTTCAATATCACTACAGAGACAATTACTTATTCCTTTCTTATTTTTGCCATAGGATTTGCAGGAATTTGGTAGAACAGATTTAGTATCTACATGGGTATGACTGGAACTAGAAACAACAAATGTTTTACCTGAAGGTTTCAAATGGCTTTCTCTGATGTCGCTCTCTGGCTATGGAGATTAGATATTCTCTTATCAATAACAAAAACAGAACCAGAGATCTGTGCTCAGAGAGATGAAAACTGCTCAGGTCTAAGTGTCTCTTTTCTGCTGGTTTGAACTTTCTTTTTTCTTTTTCTTTCTTTTTTTTTTTTTTTTGAAGTAAGCATTATTTATGAAACAAATTTCAGAAAAACACGCCTGTTAAAACACAATTAGTTTTGACAACAGACTGTCAGGAAGCAGAATATGTGATAAGGAAGCAAGAATATTGGTAGCTTTGGATCCTCAAGGAGGGAAGACCTATACTTCCGGGATTGGAGAGTCCCTACCCGCACCAGGGAAGAAAAGTCCTTGTCAAGGTCCCCACGGATGCCTAAAGGTCAACCACTGAGGATCAGACCCGCCTCAACCTTTAACTTGCATGCCCTGAATCTATAAAAGGAGCCCTCCCAATCTCTGATGAGGGACTTCCCAGGCCCTCCGCTCTGTGGGGACTGGGGAACCTTGCCCGGGAGCGGAACCCCAATAAAAGCTTGTGAATTAATTGATTTGTCTGCCTGGGAAGATTTGTTATGCGCCGGACACCTTGCAGATGGAGGATGGCCCAAGTGCTTGGGCCCTGCACCCCGTGGGAGACCAGGAGAAGCACCTGGCTCCTGCCATCGGATCAGCGCGGTGCACCGGCCGCAGCACGCCGGCCACGGTGGCCATTGTAGGGTGAACCAACGGCAAAGGAAGACCTTTTTCTCTGTCTCTCTCTCTCACTGTCCACTCTGCTTGTCAAAAAATAAAAATAAAAATAAAAAAAGAAAATATCACTTTGTAACTTGCTGAACTTATTTTGCAATTATTTTATTGTAAGTGATCTGGGACTGGCACCCCCATTTCTCTGTTCTAAGTCTAACTTGTTCTCTCATTTCTCTATTCTCTTCGAGGTAGGAAACTAATTCTATTCTGAAGGACTCTCCAAGATGCACAATTTGATTTTTAGATCTTATAAAAGGGATGGCTAACATTTCCTATAATAGCATAGCCAAAATAAGAGCTTAAATTATAATTTCACAACTAGATTTACTTCACCTTGGGCACAGTAAACAGGCAAGACCTCCCTTTCAGACCAAACAAAGGGTAAGAAAGTTTTAAAGCAAAGACATAGCTTTCCTCATGGGCATTGTCTACCTCAGAAAAACTACTACTACCAGAACATGCCTTTGAATACAGGCTTCTAGTTTAGGCCACAAAGATTAGAGATGGGACTTGAGCACCCCCTTGACTTGCATCTTCTGGTCTGCTTTAACAAAACCCAGGAGTAAAAAAAGCTAGGCATCAGAAATGTAAAGATAGGTGGCAGGCCTATTAAAGGCTGCTCTGTACAGTGATCTGCCATCAGGGAAACCCAACAGGTCAGTCCACTGTAGTGGCTTGCATTGTGGTAAGCCTGGGCTTCAGCAGAAGTCAGCTTATGAAGAGCCCTGCAGCTCTGCCAGCCAAGAGTTGGATTCTGGAAATGGACCTGCCCTGGAGTCAAAGGACTTCAGGTCAGAGCCACAGATCTTATTGGCTCCAAGCTGAAAAGCCCTTCACTCAGCCCAGCTTCCAAAGTGACCACTGCAGCTGAGGAGATAGCCAACCAGGGTCAGCAACATTGCAGGCAGAACTGTAAATTTCCTGTTAGAGTTGCCACCTGCTTTACCTGAACAGCTCTCCTCCCAGGCCAGGTAGGTAATGGAAGTCAACAGGGTGCCTTCCCCAAGGAGGTTCACACCTCACTTAGGATGTACTCTATGTGAAGAGATAGATAAGTCTGGGCCTCTTAACTTACAAGGCCTAAAGCCCACCAGATTATTATCAAGCCCCTTCTGTCAAGTTCTATTTGTCCCTGAATCGGAGAACTGATTTGTGGCTTAGACAGCACCTTTCTTGCGCCCTTTAGTAATGACTCTGCCCTTTGTTCTAGACCCTGTCTAGCCCACTTGGGTCTCACTCCTTTGTAATCAGAACCTCTACTCTAACATCAATGGCTCTGCTCCCAACCTGTGTGTACTGATGATCCTTTCCCCCACTTAATGTTGTATGATTATTCAGAATTTCTCTACAGACAAACAAAAGTTGAGTGGCCTTTCTCCTGCAAAAGTTGAGTGGCCTTTCTCCTGGTCTTGGCTGGGATCAGATTTAAACCACGTTCATCAAACAATCCTCACAAGGGTCCAGAGACCCCTCCCCCCCATTTACTCTCCTCTATGAAATCCTTTCATTACATGGTTAATGCCACTCTTAGGATCATTGGTTGCTATTCTCACCCTGCCTTGTATACTACAGTGTCTGTTTAAGTGTTTACAGCAGGTGATAATGGAATGAACCAAGGCCTTCAGCAACCAGGCAGTCAACCAGATGCTTCTCCATCCATACATGCCTGTCCCTGCGGAGCCCCAATATACCCCCAGCAGGCCCCTGTAGACAACGTCCCCAGTCAGCAGGAAGTAGCCAGACAGACTCATCGTCGCCCCCTTTCCTATCATCAAAAGGTCAGGATGGTAGCTTTGGGATCTGCAAGGAGGGAAGGCCTATACTTCTGGGAATGGAGAGTCCCTACCTGTACTTCCAGGGAAGAAAAGTCCTTGTCAAGGTCCCTGCTGGTGCCTAAAGGTCAACCAATGAGGATCAGACCCGCCTCAACATTTAACCCGCATGCCCTGAATCTATACAAGGAGCCCTCCCAATCTCTGACACGCGACTTCCCCGGTCCCTGCTCTGTGGGGACCCGAGAACCTCGCCCGGGAGCGAACCCAATAAAGGTTTGTGAATTAATTGATTCGTCTGCCTGGGAAGATTTGTTACACCCCAGACACCTTGCAAATATCAGCTACCAAGTAATATTATACCCACCTCTTCAATTATATGACTAGTTATCTTGAAAAACTGTATTTCTAAAGGACTTTAGAGAAACAAAATTCTGGGTATAGAATACAAAATTCTGGGTATGCTTTTCACGTTTTATTAATTTCCAACTTTAAAACTACAGGCCTAAAGTATATCATTTTATGATATTGAGTAAAATGTATGTACTACAAAAATTCCTCTCTATTAGTGTAGTCTGTGGAATCTTCCTCCTGATTCTAGTCTAGTATTTTATTTTGATGTTGTAATAAGAGCTTTCATGACCAACTGTTTAAACTGTCAAAAACAAACTGTCCTTAAATTTTTCTAGGGAGAAGATATTCATCCAAATTTTTCAACATTGCATCTTTGGCATCCTTTCTGAAAAAAGGTAGAGATCAAGTTTAATTAATACTGAATTTTTTAAATGTGCAAAAATCTAACTCTGCTTTTTAAGCAAATAAAAGGAATAAGATATGGCACCATCCCAATAATCAAATGGCAATAAAAATGGCATTGGTACAAAGATCTAAGCAAATCTCAAATATAGCAAATTAGTAATTTGAACATCGTACAGTGATTTGATTTTTTAAAAAACAATAAGCTTAATAACAGGAGGAACAAAATACTGCAGTCTATTGAATATTAAGCTAAGATAACCTTACAGATTCTCCAATTTCAGAACTATTTGCTTTTGAACAACTAAATTTTAGCCTCATTTTTTAAATTAAATGCCTATTCAACAAAGATAATTGGAACAAACACTTCTATGCAAATTTACATCCTAGAATACCAGAGTAAACCAGAGACATTATTCAAAGATGAACAAGGAAGTTCTATTCGTTTTCATCATCTGTGTCATCGGATTGCAAAGGACATGGTTTTCTCTTTGCCTTCCCTAGGCCACTGGTTCCAGCCTCTTCAGCAATCCGATTCTCTTTTTCAGAATCTTTAGGGGACAGCCTGAAGAATTCTCCAATTCCTTTTTGCCACTTGGCATTTGGGCACACACAAACTGGATTCCCTCCTGCATACTTATTTTCAGCTTTCCTCGGTGACAGCGATGCAGAATTAGTGGCAGAGTTGGAAGAACCCAGCACCTCCCTGGGGGCCCGAGAAGCCACCACTTTTCTGTAGGTGCTTGGCACACTATCCGCTTTAGTTCGCATCATGTCTGATCTGAGGAGATGAAAGCTACAAACAGACCTCCCCACCGCGGGTGTTCCACTGGACAAGGACCCCTCTTTTCTGCTGGTTTGAACTTTCTCCAATATAATCAATCAATCAATAATTGCCATGCTCTCTCTTTTATTTATGGGAATGTTTAATTTGTCATCTAGAGCACAACAATACTAATTACTACCCATTGCCATTAATAAGAATACTACAATGCAATTTGATTTCCTTTTTAATTAATGATATATTTTATAGAAATTTTCATTTCTGCTAAGCCAGTTATGTTAAATGATCTCCAAGGAGAGTATAATATATCAAACTGAGTTGAAGCATGCTTTAAAGGTCCCATGTGTACAATCAGTTGGGTTATAAAGATAATCAAGCAGAAATTATCTTTATATTCCTTTGAGGCATTTTTAAGGGATTTTAATGTGTGCATGTACTATAAGCTTAATCCCTATTTATACATTTATGCAAAATTTAAATTTTGTGTGTATGTGCATTTATTTTTTATGAACTCTATAGCATATATGTTATATATTCAAATATATGTTGTAAAAATGATAACTGTATGTAATTAAAATTTGATAACACTTACTGAGGACTCACTTTATATGAGGCATGAAATAGGTGGAACAGGATAAAAATATGTCTCTTCAAAATTGGGTCTTTGTGATCAAGTGCCAGTGAATGATAAAGTAATGATTTCAAAGTTTCTTTTACTTTCAAAGTCTATCACAGAAACACTATATTACAGTTTTAAGAAATCACTGAAACTAATAATTTCATTGTTAAATAACATTTTAAAACATCAAACAACTCAGAAAACCCTAATAGAGAAAGTATGCAAATCTGCATAGTAACAGCTGCAGAATCAGCTGAGAGTAGCTGTGTAATTCTATAAGGAGGATAAGTGATTCTAACAACAAATAGGCCAGAAAACTAGTCTTCTAAAGTTTGAAACTGGAACCCAAATCATACATTGTATGTTTACTCTCATTTGAGACAAGCTTGGGCTAAGGAACACACACAAACACATTCACACACACATACATATGTATTATGTAGTTGCTGTGTTTTATTAACTATAAAAGGAAAACTTGCCTTGACCCCAAAATTATAATTTTGGGGAGATCTTGATTATAGAATCCTTTACTAATCTTTTGATTTCTCTGTGTAGATGACCTTGATTGAATTTCAATAATGTATGGCTACAATTATGTCTGTTTTCCTTTCCATTATTCATTTACAGTCACCTATCACTGTGTATAAAAACTCAAAACCTGTGCTTCTGAGGCTTCTGAGGCCCTTACTCAGTGTCAATCACTCCTCTTTTTTCTTCTCAATGGGTTTTTTCTTCATGCAGTATTTGTATTTTGCTTGATTTCCATTGCACTTTTCCCCAACTTAAAGTTTAGTACATGTCAATCATTATTTCTATGGTAGTGATATGGAGGTCCCCAATAAGGTTTTCCACTTTAGAACTGGCACTAGAAATGCTCGATTCACTAAGGACAAAGGAACAAAAGCCATAAATATTTCTATGAAGTTCTCATCAGATCTGGCTAATCATGAAGCAATACAAATTTATTTAACATATATATGTGCTAGCTAAATTTGCCGTACTGTTTATTTAGTTCCAGTAGGCTTTTAATATGCAAGGTTTATCTTTCTATTGAGCTTCCAGAAGGATGTTTTTGCGTAGCCAATCTTTAAATGTAATATTTTACTCATTCAATCATCCATTATTTATTTACTATTAACTTACTGTACTTTCTGAATCTGATTCCGTGCTGAGACAGAAAATTGTACATGTGTATTTCACATCTTTAAGCAAGTGCTACTTTCATGGAGGAGACAGGACAGTAAATAAAGCATGGGGTAACACATTTCTAATTATAGCTATAAACCAGTGGATGAATTGGAAGAATAGAGAAGAGGAAGGATCATTTTATCTATAATGCGGGAAAATTAAAATGTCTACAAGTTGTATTTAGTTTTTAGCTGCAAAAATGGTAACTGATACATGACAAATCATACACAGACAATAAAGGGGAGAAGTGTTGGGGAAAGACTTGCTAATGAGTAAAAGAGAATCATACTTAGGAGAAATAACTTCTGATGGTCTAGTAAACAGTAATGTCACTATAGATAATAATAAGGTACTATATATCTAAAAACATAGCTAGAAGAAAGGATTTTGAATGGTTTCACCAGAAAGAAATAATAAATGTTTCAGAAGAACTACTAAAGGGGCTGGCACTGTGGCTCACTTGGTTAATCCTCTGCCTGCGGTGCTGGCATCCCATATAGGCACTGGGCTCTAGTCCCAGTTGCTCCTCTTCCAGTCCAGCTCTCTGCTGTGGCCTGGGAGGGCAGTGAAGGATGTCCCAAGTGCTTGGGCACCTGTACCCACATGGGAGACCAGGAGGAAGCACCTGGCTCCTGGCTTAGGATCAGTGCAGCGCCAGCTGTAGCAGCCATTTGGGGAGTGAACCAACAGAAGGAAGACCTTTCTCTCTGTCTCTCTCTGTCTATAGCTCTACCTGTCAAATAAAAACAAAACAAAACAAAGAACTACTAAAAAGAAGGAATGAGGATTGTTCAGCTTGACTCCTCTTAAAAAGTTGTTCACAGGGGCTGGTGCTGTGGCACAGCATGTTAATGCCCTGGCCTAAAGCGCCAGCATTCTATATGGGCACTGGTTCTAGTCCCAGCTGCTCCACTTCCAATCCAGCTCTCTGCTATGGCCTGGGAAAGCAGTAGAAGATGGCCCAAGTCCTTGTGCCCCTGCACCCACGTGGGAGACTCAGAAGAATCTTCTGACTTCTGGCTTCAGATCAGCACATCTCCGGCCTTTGTGTCCAACTGGGGAGTAAATCATCAGATGGAAGACTCCCCTTCCCTCCCTCTTCCTCTGCTAATCCTCTCCCTGTTTCAAATAAATAAATAAATCTTTAAAAAAAAAGTTGTTCATAATAGACTAGGAGCTAAACAATACATAAACAGTTTCTTTGAAACTGGAAAGAAATGTTGGGGCCCATGTTGTGGCATAATGGATTAAGTTGTCACCTTCAATGCTGGCATCCCATCTTAGGTCCTGGCTGCTGCACATGATGCACCTGGGAGGGTAGCAGAGGATGGCTCAGGTCTTTGGGCTCCTGCACCCGCATGGGAGACTTAGATGTGGTTTGGCACCTGGATTCGGCTTGGCGCAGACCTGGCTATTTCACCCATCTGGGGAATAAACTAGTGGATAGAAGTTTCTCTCTCTCTGCCATTTTGCCTTTCAAATAAATGAATAAACCTTGAAAAAGAAACTGGGCTATGTCTGCTATGCCTCTCCATCTCTCATAGCCTTATAGGGTTTCTGATGAGAAATCAGCTGTGAGTCTAATTGGAGATCCTCAGAAAGAAATCTGGCATTTCTCTCGTGCATATTTTAGAATTTTTCTTTATGTTTTACTGTTGAAAGTTTGACTACAATGTGTCATGTTGAAGATCTACTAGGAGTTCTATGTGCTTCCTGTAATTGGACATCCCTTTCTTGTTCCAAATTAGGGAAGTTTTCTGTAATTATTTTGCTAAATAGGCCTTCTAACCCATTCTCTGTTTCCATGCCTTCACGAACTCCTAAGACCTGTATGTTGGGTCATTTGATAGTATCCTACAAATCTCCAACACTGTTTTTATTTTTTCTAATTTCTTGTTTTGTTTTGTTTTTTTTTTTTTTCTTTTTGTGGTCTGATTGAAAATTTGCCAAATTTTGTCTTCTAGCTCAGATATTCCTTCTTTTGCCTCACCAAGTCGGGTGTTAAGGGTTTCCAATGAATTTTTTTTGGTCTATTTAATTCTTCATTTCTAATATTTCATTTTGATTTCTGTGTAAAAATCTCAATTTCATGGAAACTTTTTCATTCACATCATGTATGGATTTCTTTAATTCATGGATTTGCTTCTCATTGCTTCTGAGAAATCCTATGATTAATCTTTTGAATTCCATCTCAACCATTTCATCAATCTCTTCATCTTTAAATTCTAATATTGAAGTGTGGTTGTGTTCCTTTAGGGTAGTCATGTTGTCTTCTTTATTCTTGTTTCTTAAATTTCTATTTATTTTTATTTATTTTCAGGAATTTGTAGAGATACTTATTAGCTTTTTTCCTCTGTTGTCTTTTATCTTGAACTATTCCTCTGTGGATTAGTGCAATGTCTACTCTCAGTGAATACCTAGAGGCATGTGCTGAGTGTGTCCAGGGATCTCTGATCAGTGTTCCAAAATGGGGCAAGTATCCAGGGTGACACTCAAGATGGGCTTGGTAAATATACTCTTTTTTTTATCAGAAGGGAAGATTTGATCGCCTTGTTGGCAGAATCACACTTTTACCTTCTCTTTTTCAAGGTGATCAATGCCTGGGTTTTAGCCCACAGTGGGGTGCAATACTCATCTGTGCTGCCATAAGAACCAGAGAAAGGGTCCATGCAATCCTCAGTGTGAGCACAGATCTGCTGCAATGCCCCACCTCAGGTAATCAGGAAGCCCTGAATGTGGGGAGTGGCTCACAGGGATTGCCCAGACTCAGCTACCTCCTGCATCCTCTCACACAGTCAGAGTTTTCTCAGCTTAGCACATAAGGCTCCCACAGTCACAGGGCACAGAGCATCTGCTGTGCCTTGCTAGACAATCCCATCCACAGAGCAGCAGAGATGTGCCCAGAGCCAACTGCCCATGGGTACCTCAGAATACTACGTGGACACCCAGCCCCCGCCAGTCCTCCTAGCCAGAATTCAACTCAATGGGGAATGTGCATTTTCCCTCTGTTGAAATCCCTGGATCACATGCATACACAAGAGCTGCAGGTGGCAGTCCCTTGTCATCTCACAGTGATGTTTTCCTGCCGCCAGTTGCTTTGTGTGACCTGAGCCACTGTCACAGCTACTGATGAGATACATCCATCTCCTCTCAGCCAGTAGCTGCGTGTGCACATGAGAGCTGGCACAGCTGTTACCTATGTCTAAAATGGTGCCCCTGTCTCAGCCGGGTGCTAGGTG